GCCTGCACCCGAGCTGCTATGCCGACTCAGCCCGCCGGTGCTGCTAGGCTCAAAGCACCGTGCCACTGCCCGCTCCCACGCCGTGTTTAAAAACTCAAAGAGCGAGTCGCGTGTTTGCGCATGATCTGTTTCAAACTCGTGCAGCGACTGTGGGTACCAGTACCCGGGGTCGCCATACGACTCATATGTGGGCTCGCTAGGGTACAGAATGCGGGCAAACTCGCGGCGTATCTGCTCTGTTTGTGCTGAATTGGGCGACGATGATGCCGAGTCCAGCGACACAATCGACGATGCCGCCGACGTTGCTGCGCGGTGTCGTCTAGTCGCGCCTGATTCGATCGCGCCCTGCGAGTCGTCGCCAGGATATCGGTGTATAAAGAACGACCGCGAGCTCGGGCTGAGGCTCTTCTCCAAAATGCTGACTCGCGTCACATCCACCCAGCCAGTAAACCGCCCCCACTTTTTGCGTGCGGCAGGGCCGCCTGAAGTGGTCGAAAGAAAGGCGTTGGCTGCAGGCGCATCGGCAGCACACGTACAGGTTTCAGATGGCACCTCGCCTGAGCCATGAGCCGGGCACGCCCCGCGAGCCGAGCTTTGGCCAGTAACACGGATTCCGCCATGGCCCCGTGGCGGCCAAAACCGCTCGACGATCATCAGCAAATCTGAAAACACCAGCAAGCACATGGGCCGCTTGGGTGCGCCGGTGGCCAAATCAATCTCCGACACGTCCACAGCCCCTACAAACTCGCGGGATGCGCTGATCAGGTTGGGCGGACACCCCTCCACCGACGTGTGAATGCGATGCAGCTCCTCTACGGACTCGGTTACCTGATTATCTGCCAGCTGGCCGATCTCATTTACGCGTTCCAGGGCCAGCTGGATCCGTGCCACATCGGGATCGTCGTCGGGCACCACCTTGAGCAGATCCGTCAGCAGCAGCGTATAGCGGGGAATGCGCTGCACCGGCATGATGAGCAGGTCGCTGATGCCCAGCTTGCGGCACTCTTCGCGCTCGCGCGCCTTCTGCAGAAACGCCGCATACAGTGGGTTCCTGGCCTCTAGTTCGCGTGATGACGTCAGTGCGTGCTGGTAGCCGTTGATGTAGCGCTTGTACACGTGGAAATCCACAAAGTGGTCCCGGCACAGCGAGCCAATGGTCTCTTTGGGGTCCATCTCGCCCTGCTGCCACGCCTCGAGGTCGCCCAGGAAGCGCTCGTTCACCTCGGCCACCCGCTCAATGTTGCCAAAGATCACGTGTGCGTCATATGCCGGGATTAGCGAGTTGTTGGCTGACCGGGCCGCTGACCGCAGAGGCACAGCGTAGATGTCAATCAGCGCCCGCAGCTTTTCTACGTAGCTGCGTTCGGTAGCAATGAGCTCCTGCACCACGTTGTTGCGCTTGGCTTCCAGCTCCTCGCGGGTCTTTTTGCGCTTGGTTGGCTGTGTGGGCTCTGCAGGCTGTGCAGGCTTTTTGGGAGACAGCTCCTCGTTGGTTTGGGGCGAGTCTGCTGTGTTGGGCTCGCCGCGCATGCGGGCGCTGACACGTTCCAGCGTGCGCAGAAACCGCCGGTGCGGTGCCGCAGTGTCTGTAAACCGCCCTTCTGACTGCGCGCCCACAACCACAAAGTCTATGCGTAGCCGCCGCCGGTACAGCCGAGGCTCAAGGTTGCGAAGCAGCGGTTTGAGGTGGTCGTCGCGGATCTCTGTCAGGCTTTCGGTGGCTACTGCCAGGTCGCGCGCAGCGCGTTCTGACACCAGAAAGTCCTGAATCACCGGCTGCAGTGCGGACTCGTCAAAAGCCCCATGTGCGTCGTCGGCAACGGCAGAGTGGAATAGCCCGTCCATAAAGTCGCTGATCTCTGCTCGGCGCAGCTCAATCGAACGTTTTGTGCCGGACCGCTGCAAGCCACGCTTCTTTCTCTGTGCCGTGTCTGCCATGCTGACCACCCGCGCCGCATTTTGCTCGGCCAGGCGCTGGTTGCGCAGGGCTGTCAGCAGGTACCCGCAGCGCTCGTCATCCGCCTGCTGGAAATACAGGCGCAGCGCGTGGTACAGCAGAATCTTTTGGGGCGTGGGCGTGGCCAGCCGGTCCAGGTCGGTCCCAAATATCGGCTCGTCAATCACCATTGTGGGCACATACACCACGCCAAACTTGAATGGCGTGCGCACAAGTGCCTTGTAGCATTCATGAGACTCGCGCGTGCTTATTGATATGCATATGGGCCCTATGGACGACTCGTACCCGAAAAAGTTTGTATGCGGCTTGGGCACCAGCGCGTTCAGCCAAAATTCGCTGACGTACTGCCCGTCGTTTTCGTTTTCATTGGGTATTTCCAGTGTGCTGTATGTTGATGATTCTGCCGACCGCGGCGGCGACTGCTGCGGTGCGTCGCTGGCCATTATTGTTCCTCTGCTTTTTTTGCTTAGCGTTCGTATTAGCGCCGTGCCGACAAAATCTCGCTGTTGCTGCTGCTGCTGGTGGTGATGGCTTGTGTGCTCGTGTAGGCTCGGAAACTCTTCCTGTGGGCCGGGCGCTTTTCGGTTAAACCGTTTCTATCCAGAAAGACAGCGTGTAAATTAGTACTGTTTTGTTGCATTTTTTTCCTTTCTAGCATTGCGAATCTTTACCATTTTGCCTTTGTATAAGGGAGCAAAGAGGAAAAGGTGGAAAAATGTAAACACGCAGAAAACAACCCCGTGAAAGGGGGAGGGGTTGAGGCTTTACAAAAAAAAAGGCAGTAGGTCACCTTACCGTTCAGTAGTTGCACGTTAGAAAAAAATAAAGGACAGGGCGGGGATTGAAGAGAAAGCCCGCCAGTTCCTAGGTGCCAAATCAGCAACTGACTGCGTGATTTGATCGGTCCGTAATATGAATCGAGGGTGGATGTAGGAATCGGGTGTGTTCACATGTCACAAACGGAAACGACCAGCTCCATCCTCCAGAAAAAAATATGATGCGGAACAAGATAAAAAAATTTTCCTTCGCCTTTGCAAGGTGTCTTGTTTCTCCCTCTTTTTATTCTGCTATTTTTCTGCACATTTCGCTGCTTCTTTGTAAATGGCCACTCAGCTGACAGCTGCCGACGTTGCCCGGCTTTCGGAGATTTTTGACATATACGCCGATACTCAGGATACCGATGGCACCCGGTACATGTCTCCGGCGGCCTTTGCCAAGGCAACTTCGCCGCCTGTTCTCGACACCAGCGCGTTCTTTGCCGTGGCCGACGCCGAGGCGCGCGGCATGCTCACAAAAGACGACTTTGTTCGGTTCCAAACAATGCTCCGAACCCCAGACGCCGCCGCCAAACTGGTGTTTTGCGCATCAGACTCGCAGCCAGCGCCATTGCGCGCTCTGGTAGGCAACGACCCGGCTGCCCGCAACTACCTGAAAGACAGACCGAAAATCAGCTACGCCGAGTTTGCCCAGCTAATTGACGCCTCCCGCAGCGAGCGCATGCGCCATGCATTTGCAGCTGCGGATGAGCAGAAGACAGGTACCATCTGCGCCGACCAGCTGCTCGAAATTGCCCGCATGTTTGTGCCACTGGAGCCGGCAGGCCCGATTGCCCAGCGGCTGGCCCTGCTGAGCGAGTCACCTGACAGCACCCTGATCGGCTATCCTACATTTCTGGCACTCATCAGCCTGCTTTCTGACCCCGGAAAAATTCGCCGAGCAGTGGACGGAATGAAGCTGCCCAAGGACGAGCTGCACGTCCCGCAGTCCCTGCTGACCACGTCATCGGTGCCTCTGAGCGCATTGGAAGCGGGCATTCTGTTTACGCTTGCGTCTGGACAGCGTGCAGCCGAAAGCACGTCGCTGGAAAGCATCAACAGCACCATAGACGCATGCTACACGGCATTGCAGCCGGTCCCTCAGTTTGAACATAAGCCGCAGCCACGCTCCAACCTTATGGAGGTTATGCTGCAGGCATACAACTTTGCCGTGGGCGCGGTGGCTGGCGGCATCGGTGCTGCAGTGGTGTATCCAATCGATCTGGTCAAGACGCGCATGCAGAACCAGCGGGCAGCAGTGGTTGGCGAGATGCTCTACAAGAACAGCATCGACTGCTTCCGCAAAGTCATCCGCAACGAAGGCATTCTGGGCCTGTATCGCGGGCTGGGACCGCAGCTTGTAGGCGTTGCCCCCGAGAAGGCCATCAAGCTCACCGTAAACGACTTTGTACGTGCGCGCTTGACCAACAAGCAAACCGGCGCCATCACGCTGCCCGGCGAGCTGCTGGCGGGCGCCATGGCTGGTGCCTCGCAAGTCGTGTTTACCAATCCGCTGGAGATTGTCAAGATCCGTCTGCAGATTCAGGGCGAGATGCTGAAGGAAGCAACTGGGGCAGCCAAGGCGGTCTCTCGTGGCAGCGCCATTACAATCATCAAGGAGCTGGGTCTTCTGGGTCTGTACAAGGGCGCATCTGCCTGCTTGCTCCGCGACGTTCCCTTTTCTGCCATCTATTTCACCTGCTACTCGCATCTCAAAAAGGACGTGTTTCATGAGGACCGGCGCCAGCTCGGAGTAATTGACCTGCTGCTTGCCGGTGCTGCTGCCGGAATGCCTGCCGCATACCTCACCACCCCTGCCGATGTCATCAAGACCCGTCTGCAGGTGGTTGCCAAGCAGGGCGAGACGGTGTACACCGGCCTGATGGACGCCGCACGCAAGATCTACAAGGAGGAGGGATTCAAGGCGTTCTTCAAGGGCGGTCCGGCCCGCATATTCCGCTCGTCGCCGCAGTTTGGCGCCACGCTGATGTGCTACGAGCTCATCCACCGGATGGTGCCCTTCCCCGGCGAAGCCCACGAGAGCCCCCGCGAGCGCACGGCGATGCAGTCCAGGGAGCTTTCGTCGCAAACGGCGCTGTTCCACGCCGGAAACGCCTTGCGCCTGCTGCACGACTCGGGCTACAAGTTTGGCGCGCTGCCCAGCATCAACAGATAGAGACATTGCGAGTGTAATAAAAAAAATCAGCCAAATAAAATAACAAAAAAAGCGATCCAGGTAGGGTTCGAACCTACGACTTCTTGCATCGGAAACAAGCGCTCTTCCACTGAGCTACAGGACCTGTCACTTTCTTCTGAGAATGCTGGTTTTAACTGCGCTTTTAAGCGTAGCCTGCCAGAAAAATAGCCGAAATGAAGTGCGTAATATTCCTGTAAACTCGCCTCACTCAGTAGTTGCCGCAATGAAAACAGTGTTATTAAAATCCAAATAACTTATTCGTTGGCAATGGTGACCTCGACATCAACTCCGGGCTCGATGGCAATGGAGGTGATCTGCTTAACGATCTCGGAGGGCGAGTACAAGTCAACCAGACGCTTGTGGATCTTCATCTCAAAGCGATCCCAGGTCTTGGAACCCTGGCCGTTGGGGGTCTTACGGGTGGTGATGGCCAGCTTCTTGGTTGGCATGCGGACGGGACCCTTGACACGCAGCTGCTTGTCCTTGGCGCGCAGAACCAAGTCCGAGCACACCTTCTCGAGGCTCTTCACATTGCGCGAAGTCAGCGTAATGCGGATGCGGTGGATGACGGGGTCGGCAGACTCCTGGTAACCGGCCTTCTTAGCGACTTGAGACATATTGGCGATTCGAAAAAAAAAAACTCAGCGGTGACCAAGTTGGCAGAAACTTTTTGAACGTAAAAGAGAGGATTATCGAGAGGGAGGGCCGGCTGTGAGAGATATTTATAAGGGGAGGAAAAAAAATTCTGATTACAGGCTTGATTTGTGAATCTATCTGGCACCACCCTACAGCTAGTCACGTGGAATGCGGAAGACCATTGTGGTGATGTTGTCCATGCTGTCATTGTCCAGTGCATGCTGAAGCAGCTTCTCGCTGGCCCGCGCGGGGTCGGGCTCGTCGCGGACCAGATCAACGGCATCCTGGTCAGAACACACGTCCCACAGCCCATCGCATGCCAGAATAAGCACATCGTCGTTGTCGTCAAGCCGGGTCTCGGTGGTGTAGGGATTGCCAATGACAAACTGCTTGAGGCTGTAGTCCCCCAGAGACCGCGTTACCGCCAGGATGCCGTTGACCCGGCCATTGAACACGTAGCCGCCGGCTTCCGAGATGCGCTCAATCTCGCGTGCATCGTCGCCCTTGTGGTCGTAAGTCAGCCGCTTGGCAGTTCCATTCCGGCTCAGCACCGCACGTGCGTCGCCTGCATTGGCGCAATACAGAGTCCGCTGACGCTTCACCGCGTCGCCGTCCTTCACTTCTTTGACCTCCAAAAACGCCACCACCGCCGTGCACCCCGAATGTGTCTTCACGTCGGATTCGAGCTGCCGGTCGGCCTCGACAAACGTCCTGTTCAGCAGCTCAGGAACCGACTCCTTGTGCTTGGCCTTTACACTCAAAAATACATTGGCAAAGTTGTTTCCGCACCATTGCGCCGCCTGCTTGCCTGCATGGCCGTCGAATATCGCCATAAACACCTGGCCCTTGATGTCGTCAAAGTCGCACTTGTGGAAATGCGCATCCTCCATGGTTCGTCGGTATCGCCGATTCTTTGAAAACGCAACCCCGATGTGTGTGCACTCTGTGCTTGGAACTTGGGGCTGCTCGCTTGTGTCTTCCAGAGCCAGCGGCTCAATGGCGTTTGAGCTGCTTGCCGGCTGATCTCCGGCGTTTTCTGTGTCTATTGGTGGCGGAATGCAGCTGCGCTGGAGCCGTGCCGGCGGTTGAATTGCGCTGGCGTTGGGAAATGTCGCTGTGCCGGACGTGCCGCTGTCGAATACGTCGTCTGTTGGACTGAGAGCGTCCTCGTAGCCGCTAGCCTGGTTGCTGTCCGAAGTGTCATTCATTTCGTACGTCAAAGTAAAGTCGTCCTCTCTAAAAAAAGAAACCTAAAAGGAAGAAAAGAAGACAACGAAAAAAAAGAAGCGCTTGTCCCCCCTGATCCTCACCTCTTCACGTGGCAGCGATTTTCTCTTCTTGTTCGTGTGCAAAAAGCGTATCGGGCCACGCTGATAAGACCAGCTGCAGCCACATGAATCTACTGAGAAAGCTGCGCCAGGTCGCCCAGGCTGTGCATATAGTATGTAGCCTGGGGCGAGTCAGAAGACAGAATGGCTGCCTCATCGGCCACACCCGTCAGCACACACAATGTGCTTAGACCGCCCTTGATGCCAAAGAGGATGTCTGTGTCCAGCCGGTCGCCTACCATGCACGAGCGCGACGGATCGAGGTGGTACTTTTTGATCACGCATTCCAGCATAGGCGTATTGGGCTTGCCCATGACCAGAGGAGTGTGCTGCGTTGAATGCGTCAGCACGCTGAGCAAAGACCCGGAGCCAGGATACATGTATTTGCCTCCAGGCAGCGTGCGGTCGTCGTTGGTAGCAATAAACAGACAGCCGGGGTTGTGTGTCAGGTTGACGTGGGCTGTAGCCAGCTTGCGGTACGAAATGTCGTAGTCTATGCCGCACACTACCGCGCCAATCTCGTCGTTGGGCTCAATCTCTGCCAGCGTGGCCAGCGAGACGCTTCGATCATCGTCGTGGCCAAGCGTGGTGATGCCGACGTCTTCTAGTTCCTGGCGAATGCCGCTGCCGCCAATAACATATGCCTTCTTGCTGGTATCAAACTTGATCACGTCGTGGAGATAAACTGCAGTAGCGTAGGCCGAGCTGAATATCTCGTCCACCGATGCCTGGATCCCCAAACCAGCAAACTTTTTGACATAGTCCCTGCGCGAAGTAGCGCTGTTGTTTGTGACAAATATCAGGCGCTTTCCCCGCTTGCGCAGCATATCCAGCGTCTCGGGAACATTGTCGATAGTTGTGCGCCCACGCCAAATAACCCCATCGCAGTCAAACAGGAACGTGTCGAATTTGTCCACAAGCGCCTCTAATTCGCTGGCCGTGGAAAGCTTAACTGGAGGCATAGTGCAAAAGAGATAACAAATGGGACTATCCTTAGCCGAGCCGCGTGCAGTTGAGTCGTCCTGTTAGCAAACTCTCTATTGGCAGCAGTCACGCTAGCATTAGCCATCTCAAAAAAATATTGCGCCATTTCTGCATGTGGCGATTGGGTAGCCAATATAGCGAGCTCCGCGTTTGCATAAATGCCCTGGTATTTAACCTGATGCTCTCCTGGCCCAGAGCAAAGCCTGCCTCGATATTCAAGTTTTGATATTTCGCTAATGCCTACACCATCGCTTATCGTGGGTCTTCGCCTTGACGGCAAGCAGGCCGCTGTGTTCGGCAACGATCAAGCTGCTGCTGCCAGCCGCGCAATCTTTGCGCTGGATGCTGGCGCACATGTCGTTCTCTATGGACCAGAAATCCCCGAATCGCTGGCCAAGTGGGCCAAAGTGGGACGCATTGGCGCAGTGCCCGCGTCAAAGTATGCTTCGTCTGACATGTCCCAGTTCAGCGTAGCATTTGTCGCTGGATCTACTGATCTGGTAGCTGCAGAGATTGCCCGTGATGCACGTGCAGCTGGCGTTCCCATTAACGTAACCGGCAATGCCGAGCTTAGCGACTTTACGCTGATGCCGACTTACCGCGGCTCCTCTGGACTGCAGATTGCTGTGACCACCAACGGCGTCGCACCACGCGTGGCCAGCCGCCTACTCAAGGAAATTACCGGCAAGCTCCCAAGCGATCTGGAGCCACAGCTCAAGCAAGTGGCACATCTGAGCAATGTAGCCCGCGAAGCCGAGCAGCAGCGCGATCAGCTCATGGCTACCATGGAGGTTGGCGACAAGGAAGCCGACATTAGCGCATCGGCTACAGTGGGGAACACACCGGCGCTGCAGAACTCGTCGCCAGGATCAGTCAGCGACCAGGCGCCTCAGTACCTGGATCTGTCTGCTCTGCGCACCAGCGCCAATCAGCTGAATCAGGAAGCCAGCGTACAGACGGCAGCCAGCTACGTAGCGCACGCACTGAGCGATCTGTGCTTTGTGTATTCCGCGCCCGAGCAGCTTCTGGGCGAGGCTGCTTTGGCCTGGTCGCGCCGCGCAGAAAAGAACGCGTATGGTGAATGGGTATCAGCGCTACGCATGGAGACTCGTAATGGTGCTGGCCATGCTGTGTGGGGCGCGTTGTCGTCGGGGTCGCGGGTGGCTGCCATTGCGTCGTCGGCATCCCTGCCATACATGGTGCCGGTGCTTATGGAGCTAGTCGAGCGCAAGCAGCCGGTAGTCATCCATGCCGCAGCACAGTCACTCGATGAGGCTGCTGATGTGCAGACTGACTTTGCAGATGTCTTTGCAGCGCTGCAGACCAGCGCCGTGTTCCTGAACTCGTCCTCTGCACAAGAAGCGCACGATGTTGCTGCAATTGCTCATGCAGTGGCCGCTACAGCTCAAGTTCCGGTAGTGCATGTTACTAGCGGCGCTAGCGACGAATCTGCCGATGTGAAGTTGCTGAGCCATCAGCAGCTGGCAGCATTTGTTTCGCAAGCAACCGCCAATGGACTGGTTACCGCAGATGTTGCTCTACAGCAAGCGCTGGACCGCTTCAAGAACAAGTTTAACCGTACATACTGCCAGCTAGAGTACAGCGGCAGTGCGGATGCTCAGACCGTGTTTGTTTCGTTGGGACAAGTTGCTGCCGATGCTCTGGCAGCGCTTCC